ACAAAATTTACATGAATTACATCAAGAAGAGACCTTCAGCCGTATGAACGGTCCTTATCAAAAAACATTATTTAGGTATCACTGAAAATCAAACAGATTTATGATATACTGCAATAAAATAAACAATCCTTCGTGCATAATTTTAAATGCAATTCAAGAGTTAAAAATTCATGTACGACAATAAAAATCAGACCATTAAAATTGAATGTCAACATTAATTTTCATTTTTCATACCAACAAAATAATTATATTTTTATCTCAAAAATCAGGGCAAATACATCAATATCCTTACTGAATTTGAAACTATAACTAAATTAATCCAAATCATATCATCAAGGAGGTGTATTTTTAAACAAAACCAATGGTCATCACTATAAAAACACAAAACTATCTAACATTATTACAGGTAGAGATGCCTCACCACAATTTGAGCAGCCTTTATTTGCTCTTAAATAACACAGCTACAGATGGTGGGACATATCTTTTGTCCGTCGATTTCACAACTTTATGCTTCAACATGTTTATTATAATTAAAATTATCTTTCCCTGTTCTTTTGACCCGTGGTCATAACTCATGTGAAACCTCAGTTTTACAATACATATTTTTAAATTGTTACAAAATGAAAAACGAGTCTCATAAAAAAGAAATTCAAACAAATCAGGAACTTCAAAGCAATCATGGCAATAGTTACTTTTAACAGATTCATTTTTTTTAACAATTCAAACAAAAGCCTCACCTCCCAACTCATGGACCTGACAACTCACCTCCTCTTGAAAATCATAAACAAGTGCACCTTTAGAGCTGGCAGCGCTCTCTTTAACACTTTCAACATTGGTTTCCAACTTAATGTTAGAGCACTCCTGGCTCTCAAAATCTGGACAAATTTCACTCACATTACTTGGGTATTTATTTTCATTAAAACTATCTGTAACAATATGTACATTTGAGCAGCCCTGGCTCACATTTACAGGTGATTCATTATTATTACAATTATCCGTAACAATATGAACATTTGAGCAGCCCTGGCTCACATTTACAGGTGATTCATTATCATTACAGCTATCCGTAACAATATGAAAATTTGGGCAGCCCTGGCTCACATTTACAGGTGGTTCATTATCATTACAGCTATCCGTAACAATATGAAAATCTGAGCAGCCCTGGCTCACATTACCTTTGATTCATCATCAATACAGCTCTCTGTAATACTATAAAATTTTGAGCATCCCTTGCTCATAACAACTAGTGTTACATTTTCATTGCAGATCTCTGCAGTAACATCAAAACCTGAGCACACCTGGCTCACATTATCAACTAATTCATATTCATTACCAGTACATATCTCTGTAAAACTATCATCATTTGAGCAATCTTTGCTCACATTACACAGTGACTCATTTACATCACAATAATTATTAACAACAATTTTCTCTCCTTCCCCCACCTCAGGGATTACACTAACCTTATCAACTTCACAGAAAAAATCAGACACTTTAACTTCAGGACTTACATTATCTGATGGCTCACCATGAGATACAACAAAAATCATGTCCTCAGACATTAGAACAGGGTTCTCTTTGCTTTCGAGACAGCCCGTTTCCATAACAACCGATTCATTACATGCTGTGGCGCTGGGACAGTCCCCTACATACGTCCACCTAAGGTCATTTCCAACGACTTCTACCATATTAAATTGTCGTCCCCTTTCTTCTTTACATTGGACTTCCTGGGATACACCAACTACTTCAACCTCGTTTTGACATGAATCTAAATCTATATCTATACCCTTTGCCACTGGGGGTATGTCAACACGGTCAACGTTGTCCCTTTTAACGTTAGCCGACGGACCAATGAACAAATCACTGTCATTTCCATTTTAAAAAAATTGAGTCGTCAGCAGAGGCAATAATATCATTTTGTTCCTCAGTATCTTTAGCCATGAACCGTGGTTGCGAGGCCGGCTCTTGCCTGGGGTCAGGATCATGAGTATGTCCACCGTTATCCACATAATCGTCAATAAAGTTGTTTTCACTTACATTAATAGAAAATCTATTAAAATTTTTATAGGGATTCTCACAGTGAATGCTGGCAATGCCATAATATATTTCTTCCCCTTGACTCTCGTCATCGTCACTGTCGTTATAATAATATGCCTGTCTCTTTAAAATAATTTCCCGTCGTTCTGCCGCTAATTCCGCCAGTCTAATTTCTTCATCTAGTTTATCTAGTTCAAATTGTCTCTCTCTCTGTTTATCTCTTTCTATACGTTCTTCCCCTCTCTGTCTATCTATACGTTCTTCCTCTCTAGCTCTAAGTTCTTCCTCTCTAGCTCTAAGTTCTTGTTCTTCAAACTTAACTCTTATATACTCCTCTAGGTTCTCTCCGGTATAACAAAGTAACACTCCCACATGCCTAATTTCTTCTAAACTCCATTTCCTACTTGTTCTTCCTCTCTAGCTCTAAGTTCTTGTTCTTCAAACTTAACTCTTATATACTCCTCTAGGTTCTCTCCGGTATAACAAAGTAACACTCCCACATGCCTAATTTCTTCTAAACTCCATTTCCTACTGACATATCCAGCCATATCAATGCAAATTAAGGGTGATCATACAGTAAACAATAATTAGGTTTAAGGACCAATCGCAGTCTGTTTAAACTAACTCTAGCAAAAATCTAAATTCTACCCAGGTAAAAAAATGTTAATACATGAGTCATAAGAAAAGTAATGCCAAAAATGTTTTAAACAATAAAAATCCAACTTGCCTGGTTCGTGGAAAGTCCTATAGAATTTAAATATTATTCAAAACACACTGGGCTTAATTAAGTGTCAATGGTTCTTTACTGTCAATAGTTCTCTCACAAACTTCAATTGTCCTATATGGCGATCTTGGGACACAGTCATTGAGGTGTGGGTGACCGGGACGGGTCACGGGACATCGGCAGCTCACTGGACAGAATGTAGGCGAATCGCCGACACTGGACAGTTCGTGTGTAACTCGCCAATACAGGATCGGGCACGTGCAGCTTGATGCAGGACGGGACGTTGGTGGCTCGTTGAAGCAGGACAGGGCGTTGTTAAACTGAGTGACCGGACAGGCCACAGGACTTCACAGCTCACTGGACACGAAGTTGGTAGCTCACTACCGACAGGACGTAGATAACTCGATACAGGGAAATGCGTAGTTAATTCACTGGAACTCAACAGGACGTTGGCGATTTGATGAAGCTCAGGTTTGGGTATTTCACTGGACCTGGACACGAAGTTGGTAGCTCACTACCGAAGGAACGTAGATAACTCGATACGTGGAGGGGCGTAGTTAATTCACTGGAGCTGAACACGAAGTGGGTAACTCACTACCGACAGGACGTAGATAACTCGATACAGCGATGGGCGTAGTTAATTCACTGGAACTGAACAGGACGTTGGCAACTTGATAACGGGCAGGGCGTAGCTAATTTGCTGAAACTGGACACGACATTGCTAACTTCATACAGAGCAGGACGTAATTATTTCACTGGAACTGAACAGGACGTTAGCAGCTTGATAACGGGCACGGCGTAGTTAATTTGCTATAACTGGGCACGACATTGGTACTTCATACAGGGCTGGACGTAGTTATTTCACTGGAACTGGACACGAGGTTGGTAACTTGATAACGGGCAGGGCGTAGTTAATTTGCTATAACTGGGCACGACATTGGTACTTCATACAGGGCTGGACGTAGTTATTTCACTGGAACTGGACACGAGGTTGGTAACTTGATAACGGGCAGGGCGTAGTTAGCCTGTTGCAGGTTAGGACATAACTATCCTAATACAGGACGTAGGTGGTTGATGGAGTTACTGGCGCATGCAACTCACATAAACTTGACACACGGTGGCAGCGGGGCTCCGACATTGAATTACGGGAACATGCGACGATGGTTGTAACTTCACTAAAGTTGAATACTAAGAATGTTCTTGTACTTTACCTCAAGTATGAAAATAACGAGGTTCACCAATCCCGGATGAGAAGCCCCCATGTCAACTCCTATAAGTCTTCTTGGATTGATTACATTCGTCAGTTCTTTCATACGTTGAAGCGTCGTACTATTCTCACTATCATTGAATAAACTCAACTCCTTTTCATAATAACTATAACTTTAGTGTCTAAGTAAATATAATACACATAACATGTGAATATAGCGCAGCTCACTATCAGACCTAAATAATACACATCCTATCACTCCAAGGTTCCACTCAAGACTGCCGCACGACTAAAACATACGTCACAACACCGCATAGACAATACGTCACGACTCAGCATAAAAATACGTCATAAAGACAATGGCGGGAAGAGCGTTCACTAACTATAATAGACAAGCGCGGGAAAAGCGTTCAACAACTAATGAACATAATATTGAGTCGCAACAATTACTAATGAACGCTCATGCTCGACATATGTGGATTATTCCATTCATGGAATGCCTAAATAGATGTCAAGATCTGCTTACATGAGATCCACTATCCTTGAACCCCATTTTCATTTCATGGACCCCCAATTTTTTTTTTCCCCTGACATGGACCCCTTGCAAGTTGTCGTCAACTCCTGTGGGGGTCGATATAGACCACTTTGGGAATCACTGTAATTCTATTTCAAAACTATTGTTGCCAGAAAATGAATGGGAATATCTGATGACAATAACTATTAACTTTCAGACTCGGCCCCCACATACTCAGTTCAAAACCTAGGGGATGTCAAGGGTGTGACCGCCCCAGGCGGTAGAAGGGGGGGGGGGTTGTTAATGTAACGTTATAATTCTATAAAGGATGGGTGTTAGTGGGCAAAACTGCTCTTGGAAGCATGTAGTCAACACCACTGTTGCTTAATTTAGTTTGATTCACTTTGGGTAAATCAAAAATCTGTTCCTTTTTTTGGGGGGGGGGGGGGGGATTTAAACTTAAAACAAGTGTTAAGTATTTATAAAATACAGAATGAAGAAGACAATTCAACCAGTGATTTTTAATGTTCATTTATTTTGAAATTGCTTAACATGACTGAGACATCTGGTGATAATAATAACTTCACAACACAGTTTGGCATGGAACAACTTGGACAAGGTGAAAACATGAGATGCCTGCTATCCACACTCTTCTAACAGCTATGTAGTGACCTCTCAAAAGGGAGAAATTCACTATGCACCTTTACTTCATGAAGCACTCATTTACACATGCCCTAAAAACACATTTTGAGATAACAGCTGTAGAAATGAAAAATCTGTAGTCCCGGTGAATGCACTCCTTTGGTCAGCTGTTATCAATCTACCGACATCTTTGGTAAAACAGGTTGGATAACAGAATTACATTTGTAAGAAAAATGAAAATGGTCGAGTTTTTATTTTACAAAGGTGAAATTTTTTTTTTGTGACGATTCGTAACTTGTATATAGAAAATCAGGTTATAAAAAAATCAATTGTGGAACGGATCAAGTGTTTTTAGTTAATGGCATCATTTTTTTAAAAATTGATCACAAATTAAAAATTATTCTCTGAAACAAAACAATGAATTTTCACACAGGCACACAACAATCAAATAATATTCACTCAGACATTTATTGCAAATTGGCATAATGGATTTATTTAAACAGAACCTAAATTAATCGCCAGAAGTGTCTGTACAAGGTGACATTTTTTCATAGCAAGATCAACTGAAATCAATATAAATATGTACAAAATGATAAATCTTTGATGTATGAAAATATACACCTAAATATATTCATCTCAAGGCTTTTAAAACTCAGTGTTGAATAATTTAAAAGGCAAAGCAAACAGATAAATAGGACCAAACAAATGTGCCTTCCGTCAGCAAGTCATTGGAATAAGTAAAACACGACAAGTATTTTTCTCAGTGTTTTGTTTTTCATTTATTCTAAACTGGCGCAACTTCTTCTTTATCATAAAATGCTTTTCCCCTTTTCTTTTAAATTTCATTTGAACATGTCACAATAAAAACTACTCTTAGATGATAATACCCACTTGACTAATCACTGGCTTGCTCTGATTCTTTTTGTTTATATTAACAATTGTTCTGTCTCACCACAAAATCTATAACTATAATGCATTTCATAAGAGAAAGTGATGGATTTTTGTGACTTAAAATATAGTATTCCCATCTAAGATGTTCTTTAAGGTCTCTGCTGAGCAAAACCTCAAGGCCAAACATTCAGCAATTTTTTGTTAAGTCAAAAATAAATCTTCTTCTAAACACAGTCCCACGGTCAGAAAAATGATATTGGACAATGATTGAGTACTTTGCAGACAAGGTTAAAAAGAAATTAATGAAATTAATTATACATGCTCTGCTATCTTAGCTAAAATGATTTCTTATTTTAAACAATGAATTTGTGATAATTTATCTGAGGCTGATACTAATTTAACTGAGTCCTCCACTCGTACAGATGTTAATTGAGGGTACTGCCCTTATTGTTTGCTTCAATAAATTTTAACCTCAAAACACAACGACTGTGGAGTTACAAATTTTGAACACAATGTGTTGTTTAACACCAGTGGGTAAGGAAGGGGTGGGGGTCTGGCTTTGATTTATAATTCATATTAAGACCGGAACAACTTTTTAAACAAACTGCCACTCCATCATAAAGCCTACATGTTCTGTCACAACTGTGTTCCGTCACAACTTTATTTCTCTTCCATTTGAGACTAGCCAGAGTATTTAACAACATTTGTACTGAGCAGCACCATTCAACAAACAAGTTATGGCCCTTTGAGGGACTTCCCAGAAATGCAGAATGCGTCATCTAGGTTGAGCTTGTCTTTAACAGGAACAACAGTGAGTCCTCCGCTTAGATCAATTGTGTTGCCCTCTTTCTCCTATACAACAACAAATTAATACATGAATACATGATAGAGAAAATATGTTGGGAGACCAGATATTAGAAACTATTAAACATTTATGTCAAAATCTTTCTTTTTTTTTTTTTAATTAAAGAATAATTATCTATTGTTTTGAAAGGTCAGGGTTTTTTTATGTTGTAAAACTCAATTAAAAAACAAAGTGAACATAAAATCATAGTGTTGTAAAGCTCATGTCTCCTGTAGTTGTAGCAGACAAAAACAAGTTTTTTTTAGTGTTCAAACTTTGGATTTACTACTAAAAATTACCTTTTTCATCAACAATTGTTTTAGTGCTCAGCATATCTTTTTACAATATTATAGTTAAAATAGTTAAATTTTCTTCATTAAAACTGATTTTTTTATTCCTTCCAAGGTTGTTTGTTTTGTTTTTTTAAAGCAACTTACTGTTTTGTAGTCTAGAAGCATCTCTTTAAAGGCCATGAAGTCACTAAATGTCAGCAGTATCTCAAAAATTTCTCCTTCTAACTCCTGCTTTCTGTCCCTTAAAGTTGAAGAGCAGAAGGGATAATGTAAAGACTGCGACAAAGCATAGAACAGTTGCTTTCTGTTAAATTGGGTTTTTATTCAACACAGATGTGTTCAATACATTGGAGGGCACCAAGTGTCAAATAAAAAATTATTTCCTTTCCCACGCTGTTCTTATCCTTTCCCACTCTGTTCTTATCCTTTCCCACTCTGTTCATATCCTTCCCCACACTGTTCGTATCCTTCCCCACACTGTTCGTATCCTTTCCAACTCTGTTCTTATCCTTTCCCACTCTGTTCGTATCCTTCCCCACGCTGTTCGTATCCTTTCCCACGCTGTTCTTATCCTTTCCCACTCTGTTCTTATCCTTCCCCACTCTGTTCTTATCCTTCCCCACACTGTTCGTATCCTTTCCCACTCTGTTCTTATCCTTTCCCACTCTGTTCGTATCCTTTCCCACTCTGTTCTTATCCTTTCCCACTCTGTTCTTATCCTTCCCCACGCTGTTCTTATCCTTCCCCACACTGTTCATATCCTTTCCCACTCTGTTCTTATCCTTCCCCACTCTGTTCTTATCCTTCCCCACACTGTTCGTATCCTTTCCCACTCTGTTCTTATCCTTTCCCACTCTGTTCTTATCCTTCCCCACTCTGTTCTTATCCTTCCCCACGCTGTTCGTATCCTTTCCCACGCTGTTCTTATCCTTCCCCACTCTGTTCTTATCCTTCCCCACTCTGTTCTTATCCTTCCCCACACTGTTCGTATCCTTTCCCACTCTGTTCTTATCCTTTCCCACTCTGTTCGTATCCTTCCCCACACTGTTTGTATCCTTTCCCACTCTGTTCTTATCCTTTCCCACTCTGTTCTTATCCTTTCCCACTCTGTTCTTATCCTTCCCCATGCTGTTCGTATCCTTCCCCACACTGTTCATATCCTTTCCCACGATGTTCTTATCCTTCCCCACTCTGTTTTTATCCTTCCCCACACTGTTCGTATCCTTTCCCACTCTGTTCTTATCCTTTCCCACTCTGTTCTTATCCTTTCCCACTCTGTTCTTATCCTTTCCCACTCTGTTCTTATCCTTTCCCACTCTGTTCTTATCCTTTCCCACTCTGTTCTTATCCTTTCCCACTCTGTTCGTATCTTTCCCCACACTGTTCGTATCCTTTCCCACGCTGTTCTTATCCTTCCCCACTCTGTTCTTATCCTTCCCCACACTGTTCGTATCCTTTCCAACTCTGTTCTTATCCTTTCCCACTCTGTTCGTATCCTTCCCCACACTGTTCGTATCCTTTCCCACTCTGTTCTTATCCTTTCCCACTCTGTTCGTATCCTTCCCCACACTGTTCGTATCCTTTCCCACTCTGTTCTTATCCTTTCCCACTCTGTTCTTATCCTTTCCCACTCTGTTCTTATCCTTTCCCACTCTGTTCTTATCCTTTCCCACTCTGTTCGTATCCTTCCCCACTCTGTTCTTATCCTTTCCCACTCTGTTCTTATCCTTTCCCACTCTGTTCTTATCCTTTCCCACTCTGTTCGTATCCTTCCCCACGCCCTTGTAAACGCTTCCAATGCTCTTAACACTTTCTACACTCTTTAACCTACCGTTTTTTTTTAAAACATAAACAATTTATATATGGGTACTCCCCAGTTTATAAATAGGGATATATACAAGTAAAAAGCAGAGATACAGAGAGACAACAAAAAATGAACCGTGATAAGGCAAGAGACAACTGTATACACACACAATATCAGCAATAGCTAGAATAAACCATATCAACTTTGATGACTGAGAGTGAGACAGCAGTAAAGCATTACTGAATAAGAAATAAAACAAAACTCACCTTAACTGCTGTGTGAACTCTACCATAGAGAAATCAGACATCCTTTTCTTCAACTCAATTTCAAGATAGGACTCTATAACTGAAATCTGGGAGTATGGTTAATTTATATAGAAATCTATCCAATAAATGTTACAAAATACCAGAAATCAAATTGAACCAAGCAAGCATGGCTCATACAATACGGAGATGATTCTTTAAAAAAATGAATTACAGCAGCTTAAATGATAATCATTTATACAAATGTTTGCCCCATAAAAAATTGGTGGTGCAAGAGGCAGCCAGGGTAAAATTTAAAGGACATTAACTCTTTAACTCCTGTGTTCTGATAAATCGGCTTAAAAAAAAAACACATCAAGGGATTGACGATGTTTTATCTTTATAATATTATTTCATTTGTGGCCACTCCTTATGAAAAAGCCCTTTTAAGTTAACAAAATAGATGTATTTCTCATGGACTGAAACTAGGAATTATGGAAGGGAGTTAACACCATTTTGTTGTTGTAAGTCGATCATGGTGCTAACCTCTCTTTTTTCCTGAGTGAGAACTAAATAAAACGTTCTTACAATAATCATAATTTTAGACAGAATATTTTACAAAAGTGTTAATTGTTTAAACTGTTTTTTCTCATGACAATCAGGTGCAGCCAATGCTGAAAAATTAAAAGATACCAAAATGTCATCATCTGACCCATCACCCATTATTTAACTTACGTATTCCTTGTGGATATCTGTGTAGCAAAACTTATTCTCTTCGGAGTCATCAAACTCTTTGTAGTATTTTTCTAAGAAACTCGTTTGAATGATTTGGAAGGGTTCCTCTGAAATTTAAATATCAAAACAATTCATGTATTCAAATAAATTCTTCAACTAAAAATTGAATCAACCTAAGTGACCAGAATGAAGTAATTTCATATTGGTTGCACATTCTAAACTGAAGCCATCTCACACACAAAAACTGAATTCGTGTTAAGCAGGGAGGCCTTGGGATTTATTTTCAATCTTTTTGTAAGAATTAATTATGCTCATAAGCAAAACATGTTTTCAGTACAAGTCCAATTTAAATGAGATTTTCATAAGAATTTCTTTAAAAAAGTTATTAGAGGTAAAAAAGTATGCTTTTCTAATTTAAATAAAGTGTAGAAATTATGTATGAATTTAATCTGTAATTATTTTTAAAACTATCAATAGGTACTATATGAAAGACAATCTATGTATCTTAAAGTTTTTATTCTTAAGGTATGTTAACACTGTAGATTTGTTTCAGTCACAAATCTCAGTGATAAAGCAATGTTGAAACTCCACTGCTGTTTGTTGATGATTGCAATCTCCAGGAACTTGTTACTGACATAGATATCCCATTAGTATTCACACACAACAGGCACAACTATGGCTTATATAGCAGAACTTTTGTTTACACTTATGTGCTAGCCCAGTGGTCAGCAACCTGCAGCTTCATTTGACTTTCTAAATTAATAAATATGGCTTTTTTCTTTTCAATTTGCACAGTAAAAAAATTGAATGAATGTACCCGATACTGGTAATCCTGATATAACTGTTAAATAGTCATATGTGGGTGGCGGGGAAGTGGGTATAGTAAAGCACAAACTTAATTTATTAGAACCAATTTAGGATAATCTTCGCATTAAAGTAATTAACCAATCATGTAGAGGAAAAAACATGTTTTTTTTTACATTTTTTAATCAATTGCATTTTTTTTTTTTTAATAAGTAGCCATAGTTTTTTTTTTAATATTACTTTGTTTTGACCACTCCAGTAAAATCAAACTTGAATTTTTTTTCACGAATTTTAAATGTTCAAACTGGTATGGCTATTATCCAAAACTACTATAGTTTGTAAACAAACCCTGTCAGCTGATGAAAATATGAAATGACAGTATTGTGCTTATACATTGCCAGCAGACAACATACCCCAAATTTTAACAAAACCATGAAAATAACACCTGTTGGCCCTGGGTTTTTTTTGTCCAGAAAGTAGCTCATTGTTACAAAAATTTTGCTTTTCATAAGTCAAAAGTTAGCCAGCTGGAAATCTCATTGACGATCTGCAGCATGACGTACCTTTAAAGCCCATCAATAAATCAGTTTACATAACTGTAACTATGAACCATATTTTACTAATGCACTCACCCATTATAATATCTTCAATGTGACCAATGACTGAGTCAAAAAGGACATCTTTGGTCGAGCTTAAATAGAAATTACATTAATTAAGTTGTTTTTTTAAAGCTATATCTGATTTGAACCTAAAGTAATGTTTAAAATATTTCAAGGGAACGCCAGTTCCTTGTTCAGATCTGAACTAAATGTTGGAATGACAACTGGATCTGATTACCTGTTCCTTCTATATGAAGCTTTCAACCATTTAACTTAGGATACCTAATATGTGTATTCTCAAAACAAAAACATAAATCAAATGGGACCAAAACCTCCCCTATAGATTTCTTCAAATTTATTTCCCCTTATTTTATTTTGTTGCTTATGGACCATGGAAATGTTATTTTCTATTATTAAAATAAATCCTGAATAACTCTGCTTCAGAAAAGTTTCCTTACATCCAAATACAAATTAAATATTGCCGTAAAATAATTTAATTTACTTTCAGCATAGAAAAATTCAAGGAAATTAACATTTATTATTAAATTAAACCTTTGTCTCAAAATGCACACTGGTCACTGGAATTAGCCCTAATCATTTTACAATTAATCTTGATTTTTTTTTAACAAATAAAGATAGCACTTCTTTAGCAAATTGCAGAGAAAAAAAAAGATGAAATATGTAACAGAAATCAAACAGAACAATACATGAATAATAAATGAAAATGATTTAAGAAGATTTCAGGGGCATTCGTATATTACTTACAGACTGAGTGAGAATCAGTGAGAAGAAGAATTTTTTAAGGACATTCTAATTCTAGTTCAATTTAAAAAAATCCTAAAGTTTAACATAATAACTTACGATCCCATGGCCAAATCTTCATCAGCTTCCCCTTCATGAGTAAAATCCATTTCCATTTCACTGTCATGATCACCTTGAATATGAATACATAATTAAATTATATAATGTTATAAAAATTATTAATTGGCCGGCACTACGTACACCGCGGCAGTGTACCTAGCGAAACTATTGATTTTGGCCTGCGTACACCGCAGCGGTGTACCTAGCTAAATCATGGTCTGTGGCCTGCGTACACCGCAGCGATTTTAAGTAGCAAAACTATGGTCTTTGCGAGTCTTTAACTTTTTGGCCTAACCTGTACTTGTAGATTTAATGTTATACTCTTGTTAAAACTGAAAACTATTTATTTAAAAATCGTTTAGCACCCTGGGAAGATATTGATTAAGTTCCACGCTTATGTGGCAAAGTACTTGTAAAGCATTTCTTATTATTTTTTGGAAGGGAGGGGGCGGGGGGTGTAATGTTAAAAGTTAAACAATGATTTATTTTTAAAGTTAACCACTTTATTCCCCCCCCCCCAATATATTGAAATACAAATATATTTATTAATTGTTGTAGTTATTTTTTTGAAGGGAGGGGGGGGGGGGTGTAATGTTAAAAGTTAAACAATGATTTATTTTTAAAGTTAACCACTTTATTCCCCCCCCCCCAATATATTGAAATACAAATATATTTATTAATTGTTGTAGGTTTTATCATATGATCATGAATCTTAATAGGCATAAAAAGGGTAGCTAATTTGAAATTATTCTCTCCCCCCCCCCACCCAGTTGTTGTTGTTTTTTGTTGGGGGGGGGCCCTAATAAATATAACATTGTATGTGATCCTTCGGGGCGTGGTGTAAAAATGAATGGGAAGCCAGTGAATCTATTTTGTTAGCACCAAGATATAATTACGCCACAAATACATTACGGGAAGAGAATCACATATATTGATCATGAAGTCATGAAGTTAAAGTTGTCCAAGGCATTGTCACTGTGATACCAAGCGTGTGTCAACACAAAACAATAGTATGATGATGAATACGAAACACTGCAGTGATTTTTAAAAGTCTTTTAACAATAATTAAACATCATGGATTTTGTTTTACATTGGCATTACACATTAGTAAAAAATGCCGGCGGAGGGGGGGTGCAAAAGTTAAGTTTGTTGTGCGGACGTCCTTTGTGGACAACCCCTATCCAGAGCCGTGATTTGTGAAGGTCCCCTTTTTGGTTAAGCCTCTGCCCATAACTCACCTCCACCCCAACCCCGGGCAAGGATCGATTTCTCAACAAAAAAACAGCAAATAAAAAAACTTTGACATAGCGCAAATCCTGTCCCAAGCCCATTGTGCAATGGTTTCTGTGAGAAAATGTTGTGTTTTACCCAGAGCACATGCCATGTCATTCTGGAAACAAATTCCTTCATGAAAGGGGTAGACGCATACCTATGCCTATGGCTTTGCTATACAGTTTGCTACCGCTCCGTAAGTTTCTAAAATCGAGGTATTTTCAAAAGATTTGCTGTGAGACTGAGTGTTGTGAATGAACCTTTGATATTGTGTGTACATTTTGCCAATGCATAAGGCATAGTGAAAGCAAGATGGTTCAAGGTTGAAATACGACCATGCACAATAATGACATTAATATTCGTAGTCATATGATATTAATGATATAGTGGTATTTTCTTTGGGTGTTCGTAAAAGTAAAATGTAAATATTCAACTACATGAAGAATGTTGAAATACAATACAATATCACTTAGTATTCATAATGTTTCTCTCATACATGTTACATACACTATACATTAGGGGTGTGCCGGAATCCGGTCCGGAATCCGGTTCCGCCGGATTTTGCACTATCCGGTGAAATCCGGTTCGGCCGGATTTACATGTATCCGGAACAACCGGAATCCGGAATATACCGGATTTCGGAATTTGCCAGATTTTGTGACTCACCGGATCATAATCTGAAATAAAAGTAATTCTCTTTCCCGAATTCCACACGATCACGATACATTAATCGATTGTTTCGAGCGTTGAGCTTGTTTAATGTTTAATATTCCGTACATACCAGAGGCTAGAGTCAGCACCGCTAATAGTGGCCAATAGTGTAGGGACTTTGATAAGAAAATTTAAACTTTTTGTAAAAATAAACCAATGGCATAGTTGAAAAGATGTAATTTTTTAAAGAATTATAACACCAAAATCATATTTTTAGCTGTTGTAGTTTTAAAGTTATGAATTTTTAAAGTACGACTTGGTTTGTCATTTTTTAACATGGACTGCATCTCCACATTCTGTGATCTCATTCCACCAATCCCGTCATGCGCAATGACTATATAGTTTATATAAGGCAACGCATTCCCTGCCTTATCACTAAAATACTGTTTAGACTTAGTTTAAACTTTCAACTTTGGCACATGAATAATTAATTAAAGCTTTCCCTGACCAATGGTTTAATAGTTTTTGCACACGGCAAACTCTTATGAATGAAACTCTGAGGTAGTACTACGATACAGTTATGCAAGTGGCTGTGAATGGTTGCCAATGACAACGTGTTGCACACGGTAAATTCTGATCATTTATAATATGGATTCTACCGGGTTGTTAAAGCTCAAATTAAAACATTCCAGTTTAAATGTCTTTAAAATGCATTCTGAAACACAAGTTATCAATTATTTTGATGTAAATAGTGATAACAAATTAATATTTCCTAAGTATCGTCAACTTCCGCCATTAAAAAGGGGGGCGTGGCCAACCCCATGGCGAAATTAGGTTGAGCGAGCTGCATGACCTGCTGCGAACGCGTAGAAACATGGCGTCTCTCGTAAGACACTTATCCAAATGGAACGGAACTCAAATATATATCGAAAGTACTAATTTAATAATAAATAGACACACACATCGGAAAATTAAAAACTCGGATTTTTTGGCGCCGAATTCCCATACACAAAAAGTAGTAGTCTACCTTGACTTACCGAAGTATCTATCAATAGTACCAAAATCCGGAATCCGGGAGAAACCGGAATCCGGATTATTCCAGAATCCGGATCCGGCGGATTTTGCATAAGAAAATCCGGATCCGGATCTGGTTGGAAAAAACGGATCCGGCACACCCCTACTATACATTACACGCGCTTTCAGAAACTTTAAGTTTGTTTTCTAATGTCTAATATCTTATTACTAAATTTACCGGTATTTTCAAAGTCAAAGGCCTGCACAACTTGTTGAAACACTTAATATATATATATATAAGTGTATTTAATATAATATTTAAACATATATTTAAATTGTTTAAAATGCTACAAAACATATTAAAACTAAAATGGGAGGAAAAAAAACTCGATCCCCTACTGGGAATTGATCTCAAAATATATTATCGTCAAGCGTCCACTCTACCACTTGACCACGCAAGATCTTCTCTAACAAGCATATATCTTAAAACAAGCCCAATGGTACATTTTTGCCTTTCTAAGACCTCTAATAACCGCCTATTGTATGACCTTATTAGAACTATTATTCACCAACTGAATCGGGAACTATACCGCTTCCTTTCTTCCAACAAAAAGAAAAAACTCGACAATCTTAGGCCCACTAACAACTCTACACCTCATCCTACTGTCACAGGCAACAACTTAGTCGTGTGCATCCCCCCTGAACTTCCACTCTCTGATGACGAAAGGTCGCTACTTTCTAAGGGTCTCAAATTTATTCCTCTGAAACCATCTTGCGACCGATATCTACTTCTTTCGGATTCCCACCGCTACTTTCGTTCCTTGAGGCTTCAGTTTCACTTCGGTGGGAAAAGTACCGACCTCCCCGAAGACGAGATTTTTCCATTTCATAGGGAACGCAAATCTACTTGGACACCACCTTCTAATCAATCTAAAGCTTTAGACTTATATATAAAGAGCACGGAACATGACATCAAGAACCTCTCTTTACCTCCACTCCGGAAATCCAATCTTTCTAAAAGAGAATCACTCGCACTCTCTAAGCTGCGCAGTCGGAAAGATATCGTCATCAAACCAGCTGATAAGGGGGGAGCTGTTGTGGTGTGGGACAGAGATCTGTACATCAAGGAGGCTCATAGGCAACTAGAAGACAGCCAGTTCTACCAACCGAGGACCAACAACCCTATCACCAAACATAACGACATGGTGAAAGGGACTATCAAGAAAATGATTGCAGAATCAGCGCTCCCCAAATCGGCCTCTGCCCTACACATCTTCGATAGTGACCTCGGTAAGCCATGCTTCTACCTACTTCCCAAAATTCATAAGTATGGTAACCCTGGCAGACCCATTGTCTCAGCATGCTCTTGCCCCACCGAACATATCTCGGAATTCCTTGATGGAGTTTTTCAACCCATCGTTGCCTCACTGCCTACTTACATTAAGGACACCAACCATGCTCTTCAAACCTTTGAATCCATCATAATCCCTCCTGAAAAGAAACATCATCTATTTCTTCTTGATGTATGTTCTCTATACACTTCCATCCCCCACACTGACGGTCTCTTAGCTCTCAAATTCTTTCTCGAGACTAGACCCCACCCATCTATACCCACCAACACCCTCCTCAGATTGGCTGAACTAGTCCTCACCCTCAATTCGTTTGAGTTTGGTGGCCAATTCTTTGACCAAATCAGTGGTGTTGCTATGGGGACTAAAATGGGACCCAGCTATGCTTGCTTGTTCATGGGGCATTTCGAACACTTGGTCGAAAGCAGCTATACTGGACGCCTCCCTGAATTCTATAAGAGGTACATAGATGATGGTATAGGGGTCACCACTATGGAGAGGAGTGAACTTGACCTGTTCATTAACTTTGTAGGCTCCTTTCACCCCTCCATTAAATTCACATCTCTTATCTCTGAGACCTCAGTCAATTTCTTAGACATTACAGTCACTCTTCACAAAGACACCCTACACACCTCTGCCTACTTTAAGCCCACTGACAGCCATAGCTATCTACTCTACTCTTCATCCCACCCTAAATCCTGTAAGGACTCTATTCCTTTCTCTCAATTACTTCGTCTTCGTCGACTTTGTCGGTCGGATGAGGACTTTTGGGACAAGGCACTTGAAATGATAGACTTTTTCCGGTGTAGGTCTTACCCGGAGACAGTACTTTCATCAGCCCTCCAAAGGGTTAAGAATATTACACGTGCTGATGCCTTCAGACCACGTCTGAGCGACAATGTTGACAGGACAAAACTCATTTTAACTTATCACCCTCACAATCTGATTGCTAAACGTGTTTTCCTTAAACATCGATCTATACTACTCGCAGACACCGACACACGAGAAATTTTCTCTTCCCCACCTCTCATTGTTTTCAGACGGGATAAAAATCTGAGAGACCTGCTTGTACGCAGTCGTATCAATGCTCCCCCCTCCCACTTTGGGACCAAGCCGTGTGGACGCAGTCGTTGCAACACGTGCCCTTTTGTCGTCCAGACTGAACGCATACGTTTCCCCAAGGGCAGTTTTCAGATACGCGACGGTTTCCTCTGTACAAGCCGCAACGTTATCTACGCCATTGTCTGCACCCGCTGTCAGATGACATACATAGGGGAGACTGGACGCCGTCTCTCGGACAGGTGTACCGAACACCTCCGAAACATTACACAAGATAAACAGTGTCCCGTCTCCAAACACTTCAATAGTAGCGACCACCGGGGCAAGGCGGACTTTTCAATAAGTGCGATTGTGGCTAGCACTAACACCGCCAGCCGGGTCAATTTGGAACACAGACTTATCCTGACTTACGGCACTTTGACGCCAGATGGGATTAATGTTATGTCTCTGTTCACAGCTTGACCCTAGCTCCGCCCCTCCACGTTCTGACCTATCACAGTGAACTTTTTTCTCCCCCCTTTTTTTCGCCGCTGCTTATTTAAACTCTCACTCATTTTCCTTCTGCCACACTTCTATTGCTGCCCACAGATACTACTTACCAGCTAAGTGCTATTTCTTATTTTTATAACGTTTTTTCTGTTGTTTTGTTCGCTGACGAAGGCTTTCTGCCGACACGTTCGCTGTTTTGTTGCGTTTAATTTTTCAGGTTTAACCATACTCTGTTTTACTCATTTTATTTTGTACTAACCTGATTGCAGTCTCTCCCCTTATTACCCCTACATTTTTGCAGCGGTGTACCCAGGCCAAAGCCCATGATTTTGCTAGATACACCGCCACGGTTTACGCAGGCCAAAGCCGATGGTTTCGCTAGGTACACCGCCTCGGTGTAGGCATCCACTTCGTTATTAATTATATAATTATAATGAATTAGGCTTAGTTAAGTTAAAGTATGCATTACTTATACTATCATCATAGCATATTACATTGGACAAGACATTTTTTACTCTGCCAGCCCCTTAATAAAATCAATTACTGTGATCATGTTTATAATATAGTTAATATAGTCATTATATTCTCATGTAAATATAGATTAGTATTAACTTAATTTGTGTTTTAGTTTGTCATTTCTTCTTTTTAACAGGGTAGCCTACAAAAAACAATAACAATGCCTACAATACTACAATACATATGCAGAACGAAATACTCTTCATTAATTTTAAAATTTCGCCTTGTTCTATGTTTAGTTAACTTTCTATTGTATTAGTGTAGAACCAGAATTCTGGTGATGTCTGTTCAATTTTATATCTTTTGTTTACTTTAAATTTATAAATAATTGGGTATTATTAATACCACCGAAAGTACCGGGCGTGTGGTGGCGTGCTTGGATACCGACAATTAGTGTAATGAAATGATATTTAAACTTGAAATTCATGGTATAACTAATTTAAAAAATAAAATCTAAATATTTACACTTAACTATTTTAGAAAAGTGTAAGTCATAAAAATAAATTATTAAGAAATGTTTATTAATAACATACCGAGAGAATAAACATTGTTGGAGTTTGACGCCATTTTCAATGTTACGGGAAGTGACGTTTAAGTTTTGTGACATCTTTTCTTTAACAGAATGCAAGACTTAACTGGGAGATCTGGAAAATTTACTTTGAAATAAGAGTGTTGCAAAATCAATATGAAAATAATGATTTTATTTGAATGTTAACAAAATTCTGACACGCATTTCTAAAATTGTTAATGCATTGTCTTTAAAAACTAATATTATATTTGTACATATTTCTGAGATTAACGTAGCGTCGGTGGTGTAAAGGTTAGCATGGTTGCCTTCCAAGCAGTCGATCCGGGTTCGATTCCCGGCTGACGCACTTCTTTTTATATTTTTTTTTAACCACCTTCTTAGATTCTTAACTTAATTATAACTTATTATATTTTTCTTCTACTGCCACCTTCTTCATCATCAAACCCCACACACTCAAAACCACATTTTTTAATATTAATAGTACCCAGTGGGACGAAAGGCTGTCACGCAGTGAGCCTCATGCAAGTGACGTCTGAACTCCGGTAAATAGGAAGATTTATGTTTTGTTTTGTTTAGGTGGAGGCGACTATTATTCGGTATTGTTATTGTTCGTACTCCTCTGTCACACAGCAAGCTCCATGCATAATTTCTAAACGCGATAAATAGGGTGATTTCTTTTTCTTAAGAAAGGATTTTTTTTTTTTTAAATGTCACATCATTGTTCTGGCGTGGCACACTATATACAACTGGGTCATGAGCTGTCTATTTCCCTATGGGAATGTGTGCGTCTGTTAGTCTTTTCCGTAGCCTGGTACAGGAAGGTAATGCTATTTTCACCACACTGTGACTGTTCTTTCCTAAGTCTGTTACAAACTTAACGACATTATCTTATCTGTTGACAAGTTGTTTTTTTTTTTTTAAAACGTCATCTCTTTTCCGGGATCCGGCAACTATCTGTTCCTATCAGTGGGTTATTTCTTAACACAAACGGTAGAAGAAGGCAATACACTCTCACACCGATATAGGGCTTTAGATTTCCTTCCATATTATAGAAAATGAGAAATTAACTGCTAATATACGGCACGGTGATTCCAATTGTTACAAAAGATACCCATTGTACGTGTAAAAATTGCACCCAATAAACCAGTTAAGCCTTAGTATTTATATATTTTATTAATTTATGTATATTAATGAAGAAATTCAACAAAATAAATAGTTTAATCAAATATATTCTACTAAAACAATACAATTTCGTAACAACTTAAAATGTCGTTTTTGCATAAACGTAACGAGGTCGAGAGACGCCCCACATATTGTTGATCTCCAGTTAAGTGCGGAATGATGCAAAACTAAATGTAGGTGTCCACAAAAATAAATCATTGCATTTCCAAGCTATCAAAACGTTTCTAGGAAAGGTCTCAATGCCCCTCTCCCAACCCCCTGCATCGCATTCGCGCGGGAGCCTTCATCACCCTTGATTGCTGATTCACCCCTACCCCCCATGCCGATCAATGTGACAGTACCGGAGCGAAACTAAGCTGGTGCCAATAGAATACCACGTGATGCGTCACAACCGGAGAGACATCAAATATTGTGTCTGGCACCGGATGCCCGTAACCCGAATGTGTGCTCTATTAAATGCCATGGACCTCTGACGTGTCCCCTACCTGGATCAAACACTATGAAAGAAACATTGAATTCAGGTACATGCCTACCTACGCCAAACTGCACCCCTTGATTATGAATTTCTAAAACAATTTCTGGTGAGGGGTGAACCTGCACCGTTGTCGTTCAGTAGCCACCCACGCCCTAACTGTCTGGCGGCCTACCCTAAATTAAAATGATAGTGTTCCCACCGTGGAGTGGATTTTAGAAATTCAGATGATTTTCTTTAACTGACGAATTTTCATTTAATTTTTTTTTAAAAAGAAAAAAATCAACAAAAAAAATCTATAATTTACCACATGTAACATGTTTTGTTCTTGTCATTGTTATACGGTGGACTTATTTTAACCAGAAGAAATCCATCGTGGAAGTCCCTGTGGGGGGGGGGGGTGACACAATGAGTTTACCGCACCAGGTGACACAAATCCTTGCTACGCCACTGGTCAAAAGCATACCCTTGACGTGAATTTTGTTTATGTTGGGCAAAGCCGGCGAAGCCCCCCCCCCTTTTTTTTTCCCTCTGAACTGACGCCCCTGGTTATAGTATTTTATTATAGTGCAGATTAAGTTACTGGATAAGTTTTACAATTTGTAAGTGTAAGTAGGCCTACTATAACTTAATATAAGGCTAATTTAATGAAGCAATGAAGCGGCTGATCACTGATCCTGATCGCCCGTTATGCCTTAGCCTTAGTCTTAGTTAATAGTAGTGTAGTGTCAGTGGCGTATCTAGTTAATCTAGGGAAAGTTAAAGACACAGTTATCTCCCATGGTTTTTTTAAATTTTGATTATTCATGTAATAAAAATGAATACGAGTGACTCTCTTTTCGAGATAAAATTAATTCTATTTAAAATAAATTCAGTTTTAAACTGAATGGAACCGTCCCAACGTACCCGTCCTTACTCTTACTCTTAGTCTTAGTTTTGGCTTGAGACTTGGACGTCTTGGCCTTGTTGTCACTAGTGCCTAGCCCTACTAGTATAGGTTTATTTTTCTAGGTTCTACTAAAGTTGTATTTATAAATTCAATTTTTATTTAAAAATTAGAAGTCCTGTAAAAAGCATTGTTACTTTTGCGGGGGTGCAAGGTTACTTTGTGCAGTCAAAGAATTCGTAGGCTCGAGTCTCGAGTAAAGGTAAAAGTTTAAGGGGGGTGGGAGGTGTTTGGTTACGTTAAAAGAATAATTTCAAAGTGTGAACTTTATTGACATGGGCGTCGGTGGTGTAAAGGTTAGCATGGTTGCCTTCCAAGCAGTCGATCCGGGTTCGATTCCCGGCTGACGCACTTTTTGTATTGTTGTAATTTTTAATGAAATACATACTAATTTCTTTTCATCAAATTACAAAATTAATTTACAAGTTTTTTTATTGTTCGTAGGAGTAATGACATTGGGTTTGGATAATTATAAATCGTCGAGTATATTGTAAAATAACCAGTGTCCATAGAAATACAATTAGACGTCAAAGTTAAAGACGCCATGTCCATGTGTCTTACAGATCGATTTGACTCGGCTATTCCTAAAGCAAGATAAGCCATACAATTAGGATCAGACATTTAAGGATTTTAAAAAATCGAACTGCAGCAGAATAATAAATTTGTACACTGCCATGATTGAATTTTCCTACACAAAATGAATACGTTCACTAGTCTATATAATGTTGGGAAGTTTATAAAAATTATAATCTTTGCTCGTGGCCAATATCCTGCATTGGGCAGATAGATAATGTCTGATTTTTTTAAATTGATTTTTTAATCAATTTTATTAGACAAAATGTATTAAATAAATTGATCGCAAAGCAATATCCACACAGCCAAAAAGTCAAATGCGCACTGTCTCAATGAAACAAAAACCAAAAACAAAGAAAGAGCAAGCAAGTGGCAAGAAAATGCTCCTGGTTCTGGTGCATCATTGGCTTAGATCAGGGTTTAACAAAACTTAATAGAAGAGGCTATAAAAAAATAATTCAAAAGAAGTCCAAATTCTACCGTCGGGCAATTTCGAGCGTTGTGAAATAGGGCGAAGAGTCGAAACTGTGCAATACAACACTTTCAATCCATGAAATAAATATGTATCGGCATAAATAAAAGACAAAACATAAATGTAGCTAACAAAAAGTTTCTTATCAAACATTGACCTCACACCCCCCCCCCACACACCTAGAGTCGAAAATGTGCAATACAACACTTTCAATCCATGAAATAAATATTTATCGGCATAAATAAAAGACAAAACATAAATGTAGCTAACAAAAAATTTCTTTTCAAACATTGCCCCCCCCCCCCCCCCCACACGCACACACACCAACACACATACACACAAACATACCAACACACACGCGCGCGCGCTCATTTTTTTAAACAAATGTGATTCAACAAAACACTAATTGCTTTCCAGTTTTTGCTCTCTACCCCACCCCCTTCCCAAGCCCCAAAACCTAATATAAGAAATATTATAACCTGGCTCCACTTCTGCTTTGATAATATAATATGTAACGAACACGTAGTATTACCTGACACGTAGGCAGGCCTAAATATTCGACATTTATTTTCATTTTTTTTTTATACAACTTTATAAATTACGGTATAACACGTCTGCCCAGTGTGTCTATAGACTCTAGTTGTGTGTGAATTGGTTCCAGGTTCCAATATGAAATACACATTTTCTTCGTTTGTACCTAGAAGGTCGTTTAAAAAATAACTTACCTCCTTGCAGTCAAAGTTTCGGAGTCGTCAGTGAAATGTGATGCAATGAAAATCTTCTTGACTCACAAATTTCCTTCATCGCCACGACTTTTGGCAAGCTGTGCACGCGCACGATAATCCGCGACATCTTGAGAGTTTATAATCGACCCTCTGCGTTCGATGAGTTAACTCTGTAACAATAAACCAAACAAGTCGGTCTGCCAAATGGCACCAACATTTATTTGAAGATGTGTGCTGGCTGAGTTTTACATTTTATAAGTAACCGGTACAATTTAAATATGAAACTTCACACAATTTCGATCAATAAGGGGCATTTAACCGTTAGAATTTGCACTGCACCACCGTGACGTCACTTGGGTAGGGCAGGGTGAGGCATTTGCCCCCCCCCCCCCCCCC